TCAATGCAAATAAATTACCCATTTTACTTGGTTGTCCATATGTAAATGGAAGATTCGTTTATTATTGTTGTAGTCATTATATGAAGTGTTTTTATATTATATATATAAGACATAAAATATAATAATTAAAAACATCACTTATAAAGTTATAATGAATGATTCTTACATAGTAATAGTATAGTTTAATTTTGTTGTGTATTGTTTTAGGCTGAATAGTAAAGATTAAAAGAAATAAAATTCTTGAAGTCCACGAGTTTCATTTCATTTTTGTACCTTTACTTTATACGGTAAAGATTCTTTTAAAAGACTTTTCAGAGAAAAACAATAATAGTTAGGCGAACCTATAGCTTTTTTTTTCAAAATTGAAAATGATACCACTCTCTCTGGATTTAATGGTAATAAAAAGTTGTTTCTTTTTCAGTGCACCAGCTATAAAATCGTACTTTGCATATCATTGTTTTAAACTTTTCATATATCCATTATAGTTACTGCTAACTTTAATTTCTACTAATAAGCGAATCCTTAAATAATTCATTCCACTATGGGAATTTTTTCGCAATTATTTTATATTCTATGAAAGTATTTACAGGGAAACATACATAAAATGATCAAGATTTCATTTCGAATTCAATCGATTTGGTATAGTTTTATTTTTAAATGATATAACTAAATACCCTTAGCTATGATATGTACAATAACCTGATAACCAGCTTTACATGTTCACATGAGGAATAAGGTACGAAGATAAATGGGATTTCTTGACATTTATTCCATTGAATTACTAAATTTGATGCAAATAATGGTTATATGAATAAAACAAGAGTAGCTTATATTTTATATGCATAATAATTAAATAAAAATATACGAAAAGGCATCCAAGAGGCATGGGGCTAAGAGTACATCAAATGGGACAAGGAAAGATGATAGAGGCAAGTCAATAGAAGCAACATGTGAACATTTTTGACACAATACATAAAAAAAAGAGAGTTAAAATTAGGAGAACATGTGAACTTCTCTTGAGTTAATGTTTTGCTATTTTCTTGATTTGATCACAACAAAATGTTAAATGGACCAACACCTCGCTCTCCTCTTAACATAACATGTGAATTTACAGAAACAAGAAAGACATAAAGCAAGAGAATAAAGCAAAAGGCTATAAGGCCTACTTAAGATATTTCATTTTTTCTGTAATTTGTTACTTCGTGGGTAGTGGTGGATGATATATATATATATA